GTAAAACTGGGGGAACGCGTGGAGATGTCACGTGGAGGAGGAGGAGCGTTCCTTCAATTATAGCTCAGCCTGTCAGAGCGAAGACTAGAGCACCTCCCATTATCTGGATGCTCTACGCAGCTCGACGAGAATGGGCGTATCAGGTAGGTACCAATGCCCATTCAGTTACAGAAAGTGAGCAGTGTGAAAGATTTCCAAACTTCCGTTAAAAAATTGTAGCTGTGGTCCTAAATACATTAACTGTAATGGTATATGGGAAAAGTCTTGAGAGATGGGAGAAGGGAAGAGACACTGCCTCAGGAAGGGTCAGATGGGGTATCAGCCTGCAACTGCATAATGGACAGGGGAAGAGCCTCTCCTAATCTCTCAGACTATAAAAGAGATGGTGGGACATTTGTATTTTCGGGCTCTACCTTACAATAAAGTAGTATTAATTCACCTGGTCATGTTTCCTGCATGGTCTGCCTGGGAAGGCTGACATTCCTTAATTTTCCCACTTAATTTCAATGAACATTGCCAACACGGCAAAGAAACAGCCATTCAGTTTTAATGCAGCATTCTCCTTTTATACTTTTTTAGCCTGGAAAAATTCTTAAACTATGTAGACTTCCCCAAGTTATTTTTCAATATTGCAACCCAGTATTCGTCCTCCTGAACTCATAATAAGAAATGCAGCATTCTCCTATCTTGACATGAAACACTGATCTTCAGTTTAGTATAGACTTCCATGGCAGTGATTAAAGAGATATATTTCAAAAACTTACAGACAAGATTTGTATGTTCTGAAGTGAAGGCGCTTCCTGGATGAGAAGCGAAACATCTTCAAGGAACAAAAAAAATCCAGTTGCCTTTTAGAAAAAAAGCACCTTTGGGAAAACCATGATCTGGATGAGTGAGATCTCCATAGACAAGATACAAAGATTGTAGTTTTGCCTGTAGCTCCGCAGTGAAATCCACTGCTCTAGATATATGGCTACTATGAATGTTATTTCTATAAGGGTATTTCAGAGTATTAGCTCTTATGAGTAAAAACTTTTGATTCCCAAGATCAATTTTGATGCCATTTTTCTCTTTCCTTGCCTGTCCTAAAATTGCACAGTTTTGTAAAGTGGTTTAGCCATAATTACTATCAACCGAATTTGAACATGGATTAATTTTTTGCATTCTTTTTTTAAAATCACTTCTTTCATATTCCCCATAGTGAAATCAATTAAATTTCACATAGTGCTATAATATTGAACAGTATGTGATTTTTAAGAAAGACCTGTGGTTTATTATTGCATGGTGAAATTAACATTCAAAGATCTTGACTTAGAGTTGCTTAGATATCTTGTATAGACAGCTGATACACGATGCACGCTAATTTATAGCTTTCTTGATTGCAAACCTTGTAAATATGTAAGATCAGCATTTGATTCTTTCCTCATCTGTTACAGGCAGTTATTGAAAATCTGGAGTTTCAAGAAGAGATCAAAGAAGAATCAGATGAAGAGGAGGAAGATAATGAAGAATCTGGTCGATTACGGTTCAAAACTGAACGTAAAGAAGGAACAATTATTAGGCTATCAGATATAACAAGGGAACGAAGAAACATTCCAGAAACTTTGGGTAAGACTTTAGATGAATGGTTAAGAAAACTAGATATTTGATTGGTTACAATAACAACAGAGGAATAATAAGAAATATAAATAACTGGTGAAGGTGTGAATTATAAGCAGTGAGGCTGATAAGTTTGTGTGTGGGGGTATGGGTGCGGGTGTGTATATATATATATAGATATATATATATATATCTCAGAACCTCAGAACCTATATATCTCGGAACCTCAGAAAACATATATATAGATATATATATATATTGCAGTTCAAGAGCATTTTTATAATGTTAATCTGTGTACAGAGAGTTCTCCTTGGCATATGTATATTCAGTGACCATTAAGGTGCTTAAGTTATGGCAGAGTTGAGAAAAATGGAAGAACAGTTGGTGTTCAGCTATATTCCAGCTATCACACCATCATTGTGATACAGGTGCTATAGTGCAGTGGTTGCCAACCAGTGGGCTAGGGACCACTGGTAGTCTGTGAGAAAATTTCGGTGGTTCGCAGAGAAATGTTTCCCCCAAAGCAGTTAATCCAGGCTGCGTGGGAACACAAGGCTGCGCTGCCCACATGGCCTTCCCACCTGCTAGCCCCCACTCTTTGGCCAAGCAGAAACCTTATCTTGAGTAGAGCCATGCGAGCTGGAAATGGAAGGTAAGACCAACGGCAGGAGAGAGAAATCCGCCCCGCGGTGGCTTGCTGACATTGGTGGGAAAGTCGGTCCCATATTCCAGAGCTGCAGTAGTCACAGGACTGGTCCTCTGGTCATCCCGGAGCAGCTCCTCCAGTCCATGGCAGGCCGGTGCACCCGGGTGGAGGAGCAGCTGCTCCGGGATGACCAATGGGCCAGTCCTGTGACTACTGCAGCTCTGGAATATGGGACCGACTTTCCCACCAACATCAGCAAGCCACCTTCAGTCAAAATTTATATTATTGGTCTGCGGGATGTAAAATTATGCGATTGGTGGTCCCTGAGGTCCAAAAGGTTGGCAACCCCTGCTCTAGTGACCAACTGGCATTTATGATGTTGCAGGGAGGCACGATCATGTAAACGGTGACCTTCACTGCCGGCTTTCCACAAGCAAAATCAATGAGAAAGTCAGCAGGGAATGTCACAAGTAGTTCCATTTAATCTCTCCTGCTGCTTCTACCCACCTGTAGCACCATGTGGCTGATGTTGGCCATTCCCTGATCATGCCTTGTCTTGCACCAGCCCTCCCTCTTGGTGTATGACTGTCCCCATGCTGCTTACCTGGAACCCTCACAGCTTCCCACTTAGCAAACTGTAAACATTGGGTTTACAACAACAACAACCTGTATTGCTAAGATTGTTCTTGCTAAGCAGTGTGTACCTGTGATGTGCTTTACCACCGCATCGAGTAACAACTGCAGTTTTGGTCCCAATTGCCATTGTAACTTCAGGACTATCTGTATTTATTCAGGATGGGAAGTTGTTAAAGATTTTGTGGCGGTGTTGTATGTGTAAAATAATATAAACTGGTAAATTTAGATAGGTCTTGTCCTTTCTAATATGAGAACAAACATGTTAAGGTGTCACACAACGTCTGCTCAGCTTCAGGTCAAATCTGCTTTTCTGCAAGGACTGGCTAATTAAGGATGCTACTGTTGAAAGAAATCTCAGATTGATGTCATAGCAAGGTGGAATCAGGCAGGTTTGGTAATGAATTATTTAGAGTCTCAGCGGGACATCTTGTGAAACTATACACAAACAGGACTTCTTTTGAAGTGTCCCGCGTTACAAGTTCAATATGAAGATACGTTGTACTTTTCTAACAGAACATGTTGCTGTAAAACTATTGCAGGAGTACATTTCTTCTCTCATATTAGAGACATGGCCATATTCATTGTCTGGTCTGATACCTCATATACAAGTAATGTAGATATTTCATGTTTTGTGAGTTGAAAGCCTCTTGAAGAAATTCTGCTATTTTACAGATTGACAGAGCAGGTCTATGAATTACATGAAATGATGACATCGTGTGTTGTTCATCTGAGGTTATCTTCAGGGGTGGGATTGTACCGGTTTGGACCGGTTGTGTAGAACCAGTTGCTATGACTTTGCGCAGTTCAGAGAATTGGCAAATAGTGCATCTGGCTGGCCCTGGCCCTCTCAGCCCGCTCCTCCCCTCCCAGTCAGTCCTTATCGTGCACGCGCAACATTGCGCGCATGCTCGACATCGCTGATTGCGTTCTTCCCCCACCCAGTCACTCCTTAAGGTATTTCTTCCCCTCCTCCCGATGATCGATGATCGGCTGTTCCTATGATCAGCTGTGCCGGGATTCCCCTCGCTTACTTACTGCTTTGACCAGGAGGCTTCCCTGAGGCCCAGGAATGCAAAAAATGGAGGGGGGGCACAGCCCCTCTGCCCCCCTCCATTTTTTGCCTTCCTGGGCTCCAGGAAAGCTTCCTGGGAGCAAAAATGCCCTCCCAGGAGGCTTCCCTGAGGCCTAGAAGGCTCAAAATGGGGGGGGGGGGTTGCCAAAAAGAAAAAGCCATGCCCACCCAGTCACATGAACGTGGCCACCTAGCCACGCCCACAGAACCAGTTACAAAATTTGAATCCCACCCTTGGTTATCTTTACCTCTTTTTAAGAACTAAAGATGAAAAGAATTTTAGTATGTCCTGATATGTAAAACCAAAGAGGGTGTACTTTTTCACATGACTATATGTGCCTCTCGTCTTTACCTTAATTCAGAAGTAATAAAAATAATTATTAGTAAATAATAAATAATAAAAACAATTTTAGAATAAGCCATATATTTCACACGGACTAAACGAAGCTACCAGTTTGAATGTCTATGGAGATTCTCAGTTGTCATGGTTGTCCCAAAACTGGTTTTTCAAGAGGCAACTGGACTTTCTAGGTTTTCTTTTGAAGACTTTTCTCTTCTTCTTTTCTTCCTTGAAAATGTTTCACTTCCAAAGAAACATTTCCCAAGAAGAAGAAAAAAAACCCAGCAAGTCCAGTTTCCTCTTGAAAAACTACCTTTGGGACTACCAGTTTGAAACATCTTTCATATTCAGTGTATCTGAACTACCCATTGCTGGGGATTGAGCCATATGACATCAAATGCTACCTATGAAATAGGAAAAGTTGTTGGGCTTTGCTCAGTGGGGCAATCCTCCAACCTGCCTCCCCCTCCCATCAATATCCCCACGTTTCTTTTTTTCCAGATTTTATGTGGTTAGAATTGTTGGGAGTTGTAATTTACAGATAATCCTTGATTTACAGGTATAATTGGGCCAGAATTTCCATGACTAAGCAGGGTGGTTAAATCATTCCCATTTCATAACTGTGCTGTCCAGACAGTTTAGCGTTAATGGGATTTGGGATAGTTAGTTAGGAATTGTGAGCTGTCCCCTTAAGGGAATGCATCATGGTAGATGTAGTTAAGGTATCCTGGGAAATGTAGTCCATGTCATGTGGTCACATCTGTAATCCAGATTGGTCACTAAATTGACCTTTGGTGGGTCAGGGGAGATCTCCCTCACTCTTGCCTGAAGCCATTACCATGGGGCTGCTTCAATCATCATGGGGTTGAGACTTTATTATCTTCCTACACCACAATTCAGATATGCAAAGGATTGGACATAAGAACCTCATCATAAGTGTGAGTTGACAGGATGCCTGATGAACCAATAAAAAAGACTTCGTGTGGATGCTTTGTGGAGTTTATCTATCTGCCTTTGTACAGTATTTGTACAGGACAGGCAGAATAATAACCTTTTTGCTGAGGCTGTTAAGTGTGGGCCTTAAGTTAATCTGCCTTCTCTCATTGATTTCACTTGTTGGAAGCTGATTGGTTATAAATGGCAGTCGGCAACCATCCTAAATACATGCCAGTTGCCAAGCATCCACATTTTGGTCACATGACCACCACATGGATATGCTGTGATGGCCATAAGGGTGAGGACCAGTTGGAAGCCACTTTTTTTCAGTGTGTTGAAACTTTGAATGACTCCTAAATGGATGGTTGTAAGCTGAGAACTAGATGTATATATCAGAGGGACCTCATAGGCAATTCTAAATCCATTTAGGGTGATGGAATCTGGAGCATTAAGTGAGGGGAGGAGTGAAAGATTTGGTAACTTGCTGAAGGGGAGGGAACGCCTGAAGGGAGATTCTCCCTAAAACTTTTCAGTGTTTTTCTAGTAGTTAGTTCTGTAGTGAGTGCACAAATCTGGGGAGATTTAAGGAACCAGAAATGAAACGAGCAAACCAGAGTGGTATGTTTATTATTTGCCTACAGACAACCACTTTGTGTTAAGCCTGGAAAGATTGATAATTTATAGTGGGTTGCTTTGATAATGGAACATTTGGAGAGTACAGATTCAGCTGCGGAAAAAAAAATCTGTCTCAGGTGATTTTTAAGAAACTATAGGGGCGAAATTTATTGTGCTTAGCTTTTATTGGGCAAAATTCCTTTTTTAATTTTCAACCTCTTGATTGAAAGATACAAGATTAGCAAGTCTATATGGAAGTATCTTTAAAAATGTTTGGAAATACTGATTATTTATTTGATAGCTTGTTTCTTTGCTTTCATAAATAATGGTATCAAAATACTGTAGCAATAAAAATAACCTGGTGATGTCTCATTAGCAGCTTGCAAATATGCAAGTTTTGCAGTTCCTATTCAAATTTTTTTTTTTCTGCAAAAAGCCATTGTTAGCTGGAGCAGTTAAGCGATCTGCAATAATTGTTGTCTATTAGTGAAAAATGTAGTAAAAGTGGCGTAATAAATATTACTTTCTTTCAGGACTGATTGCTCTTAATAAGAATTATGGGTATAGAAATGGAATTCCATTGAGTGGTTACAACTTTTACTTTAACATGTAGACGTAAATTGAGAAAACACTTAAATAGAAATTAATATTTTAGTTGAAATTCCAAACGTAATTTCCTTTCTGTCACTTTTTGGTGACCTTTCATGACAGGTTGTCTCTATTGGAGGAAAGCATCCTTACTTGCTGATTAAAGATGGCATTTGAAACCATTTTATTACCAAGGGTAGCCAAATTAATTTTGACACTTGGAAGGACGAGAGGAATAATTGCTGATTCACTGAATTAGCTGTGTGTGAAAGAATTCTGCAGTAAAGATTGGATATGTGTTGGTAAAAATATGTTAAACATTTTTTCTTATGAATGCAGCAGAACCATATCTTAAATGCTGCTCTTTTTACATTAAAAGGAAAATCCCTTGAATTACAAGCATTTTAAAGCAGGTGTGTGAACATGAAATAGGCTATTTAGGGACAACAATTCAAAGAATCATATACAAAGAACAGAATAACAGAGTTGGAAGGAACCTTGGAGGCCTTCTAACAGATTTAACAGATAATCAGAGTTGGAAGGGACCTTGTAGGTCATCTAGTCCAACCCCCCGCCCAAGCGGGAGACCCTACACCATTTCTGACAAATGGCAGTCCAATCTCTTCTTGAAGGTCTCAAGTGATGGTGCTCCCACAACTTCCGAGGGCAACTTCTGTTCCATTGGTTGATTGTTCTCACTGTCAGAAAGTTTCTCCCTATTTCCAGGTTAAATCTCTCCTAGTTTCCATTCTAGTCCAACCCTATAACATTTCAAACAAATTATTATCCAATCTCTTTAAAACCTCCAGTGTTGGAGTACAGAAAACCACAATTTCTGGAGGCAAATCATTTTCTTGTGTTTTATAGAATAATTTTGAAATGAGTCCCATATTACAAAATACAGGTAGTTCTCCTTCCCCCTGCAGCCATGTAATTCTGTTTTGGACTCTCAGCAACTGGCCTGCATGTAGAGTTGTTTTCAGGATCCCACAGCCACATAACCAATATTTCTGATGTTTTGTGCCGGAAACTGATGTTTGATTCCAGTTTTGGCAACAACAAAAACTTAACAGATGGCATGACTTATTTCTGGGATCTGGGCTCTGGGATTTGGGTTATGATCATAAATCAAGGACTATTTGAAGTTTAGGATTTACATTGTGAAATTGAGCATCAGAAAATGTCTCTGTGTATACACTGCTCAAAAAAATAAAGGGAACACAAAAATAAGACATCCTAGATCTGAATGAATGAAATATTCTTATTAAATACTTTGTTCATTACATAGTTGAATGTGCTGACAACAAAATCACACAAAACTTATCAATGGAAATCAAATTTAGCAACCCATGGAGGTCTGGATTTGGAGTTACACTCAAAATTAAAGTGATGATCCAACTTTGATCCAACAGGCTGATCCAACTTTGATGTAATGTCTTTAAAACAAATCAAAATGAGGCTCAGTAGTGTGTGTGGCCTCCACGTGCCTGTATGACCTCCCTACAACGCCTGGGCATGCTCCTGATGAGGTGGCGGATGGTCTCCTGAGGGATCTCCTCCCACACCTGGACTAAAGCATCCCCCAGTCTGGACAGTCTGTGATGCAACCTGGCGTTGGTGGATGGAGCGAGACATGATGTCCCAGATGTGCTCAATTGGATTCAGGTCTGGGGAACGGGCGGGCCAGTCCATAGCATCAATGCCCTCGTCTTGCAGGAACTGCTGACACACTCCAGCCACATGAGATCTAGCATTGTCTTGCATTAGAAGGAACCCAGGGCCAACCGCACCAGCATATGGTCTCACAAGGGGTCTAAGGATCTCATCTCAGTACCTAATGGCAGTCAGGCTACCTCTGGCGAGCACATAGAGGGCTGTGCAGCCCCCTAAAGAAATGTCACCCCACACCATTACTGACTCACTGCCAAACCCGTCATGCTGCAGGATGTTGCAGGCAGCAGAACGTTCTCCACGGCATTTCCAGACCCTGTCACGTCTGTTACATGTGCTCAGTGTGAACCTGCTTTCATCTGTGAAGAGCACAGGGTGCCAGTGGTGAATTTGCCAATCTTGGTGTTCTCTGGAAAATGCCAAACATCCTGCACGGTGTTGGGCTGTAAGCACAACCCCCACCTGTGAATGTCAGGCCCTCATACCACCCTCATGGAGTCTGTTTCTGACCGTTTGAGCAGCCACATGCACATTTGTGGCCCGCTGGAGGTCATTTTGCAGGGCTCTGGCAGTGCTCCTCCTGTCCCTCCTTGCACAAAGGCAGAGGTAACGGTCCTGATGCTGGGTTGTTGGCCTCCTCCATGTCTCCTGATGTACTGGCGTGTCTCCTGGTAGCGCCTCCATGCTCTGGACACTACGGTGACAGACACAGCAAACCTTCTTGCCACAGCTCGCATTGATGTGCCATCCTGGATGAGCTGCGCTACCTGAGCCACTTGTGTGGGTTGTAGACTCCGTCTCATGCTACCACTAGAGTGAAAGCACCGCCAGCATTCAAAAGTGACCAAACCATCAGCCAGAAGGCATAGGAACTGAGAAGTGGTCTGTGGTCACCACCTGCAGAACCACTCCTTTATTGGGGATGTCTTGCTAACTGCCTCTGCTTTCCACCTGTTGTCTTTTCCATTTGCACAACAGCATGTGAAATTGATTGTCAATCAGTATTGCTACCCAAGTGGACAGTTTGATTTCACAAGTGTGATTGACTTGGAGTTACATTGTGTTGTTTAAGTGTTCCCTTTATTTTTTTGAGCAGTGTATATAAAATATTACATGGTTTTTCGAATGCCGAATACTGATTTTGTTTGTATGCAATTTTTTTTTCTGATACCATTAGATGGGATGCGGGAGGGGGGAGTATTTTATAGGCACTCTTTTCAAGTTATGAGTTTGCTGAAGGTAGTCAAAAATTGGAATAAATATTTGTGTGTGAAAGTGAAAAGACATATTACTTGCCCTGAACCTAAACTCGAGTCTTCCTTCCCTTAGTACCTAATTGTATTATTGTTAAAGCTGTAATTATTTTGATAACATCCATTATGTGGGCATAACATTCTCTAAGGAGGATTCTTGTCCCTTCCTTTTACTCTGGTTCGTTATTCTTCAGTGCCATTCTATTTTAAATGCTGCTCTGTAAGGTACAAACTCCTGGTAAATGGATTGGAGCTGTTCCCATTACCTGGAGAATACAGTTCTGTTTTAACAGCGAAAGTTATCTGTGACCCCTCTGAGTTTCACCTTCCCAGGCCTGATATGCTGAATATGTGCTGAATAATGATGGCCAGCACAACAAGATGAACTTGTAAACTCAATTAGTTACTCTCCTTAAAATTGGACATCCTTCTGCATGGGTTTTAGCCTGAATTACCTATTTTTCAGAATGTTTTATGCAAGATTATAGTCAGGGGATAGAATGGACTACATAATTCTGAGTGAGCCAGTGAAGAAAGATTTAGAAGCAATGCTCCAATTACCAGACTTTATCTTACAAATGTAAAGCATTTTTTCCTTTCTCCTTAACATGAAGAGTTCCAAGTAAAAAGAACAGGATAGTCATTTTATAGTTTCCCGTTAGTTAAAGGCATGTTACATATCTTTGTGAGAAGGGAGAAAGGAAGAAACAAGGAGTGTTTAGAATGGAATATTGCTCAGACTTTGTTTTAATATCAATATATTCTGGAATATTTTGAAAAGAAAGGTTGAAGCCTAACAATTTAAAGTAAATTAATAAAACTAAAATCAAAGTAAAATCAAAGTAAACTTATTTTTAAAAAATCAGTTATGAAATTATTCTTGAGAGAATAAAGAATTTTATAGCTGGAGTGTCAATATGTGTTTCTATTTGCAAATTAAAAAGGGACAATCAGATTAACTCTTTACATATTAATAGATTGTCTTGATGTATGTGCCATGCTAATTGAATATGTTTACCTACATGCAGTTGTTGTAATGAGACTGTTATCAGTTCATAGCTCTTAATTCTTCTGGCAAATAGTAAATTATATTTTCTTTCATCTGATAGAGCTTTCTGCAGAAGCCAAAGCAGCATTATTTGAATTTGAAGAACGGGAAAGACAGCTGAAACAAGGGCGGTATGGGTCCCGAAGAGGAGGAAGACGAGGAGGGTTATTGATGTGTCATGGGCTGGGAGAACAAAGAAGAGACATCAATGAAAGAGGAAGAATGAAGGATCACCGGCCTTCTTTACTGTCAACCCAGACAGCTATGACGGTACCCTAAATACAACAGTGATGGTTGGGTGGAGGGATTCAAATGGTGGAAGGCCTGCTTAAGTTTAACTGCTTAAATGAGAATGCTTAATTCAGAGCCTTATTCTAAAGACTCTTAAAGTCAAGAGAATTGGTATTTACAACCTGAAGTTTTGCTTTATTTTGTTTTGTTTATTTATGTGTTTATTTTTATTATTAATAATGAGTAACTCATAGTGGCGAGCATATACAGCATTCCTTCCTCTTATTTTTCCCACAACAACAACAACCCTATGAAGTGGGTTGAGGTGAGAGAAAGTGACTGGCCCAAAATCACCAAGCCAGCTTTCAAGCTTAAGGTGTGGCTAGTCTTCTGATTTCTAGACTGGTGCCTTAACCGCTACACCAACTGGCTCTTTGGTTTTAGGATTTGTGAAAATCCCATTCTTGATACTTCTTGTAGTTCTGCAAAACATGTGCAGTGCCAGAGATTTCTCTTGCTCATGTCTGTCTATGGATGTGCTTGACGTGGTAATGTAAAATGGCTTTTTGATATAAATAAGAGGAACAATTTTTCGTGTCCTAATTCCATCATGACAACAGAGGAATCTTGTTGATAAATCTAAGTTTAGAATGCTGAATTGTAGTACCTTCTCGTGTGTGAGAAACTACTGCTAAGTTGTACCCAGGAATGAATTTATGTTCATTCCTTCCCTAGCCAAAGAGTTAGGATGTCTCCACTTTCATCTGTCCATTCCCCAAGAAAAACTGTAGTTTCTAGGCAACCTGTGAAAATGGAGATATTATCAGTAGCCATGAATCTGCTTAATCCCATAAAAAAGTCTGTTGTATTTTTTGTGGGGCAGTTTTTTTTAAATTTTTCAAGTAATGGAAGTTATTTTCTCTCTTTAATTTCAGACACATTCAGACAGGATATTTCATCATCCCATGCGGAATCTTTTCCAGCAGCAGCAACAATCACAACAACAGCCACAACAGCTACAGGGTCTGCTCCCTCTCCCCACTCAGCTTCGCACACCACCCCCTCCCCCTCAAGGAATTTGTATGCCATCCCAAGTAGATGCCCCAAGAATGCTGATGACTTCTTCTTCAGCGGCATCCCAACAACCAAAAAACATACACATAAATCCACACTTCAAAGGAACTGTAGTAACACCTGTTCAAGGTAGGAATCTTTTCAAAGAAAGTCTAGTTAGACTACAGACATTGCTACAAAATGTAATGAAAAATGCCTGTTGTAAAGCACATATTTGGATGTGAATATTTCTTATTTTTTAGAATCTCTGGAGGTACCATGAGAAAGAGATAGAAGCCAAGAAAGCTGCTATGTTGATCATCATCAACCATGCTAACCAATGTAGATCAAAGGTGTTACTTGGCAAAAGTTGGCTTTTGAAGTTGTCTTTATTTTTATAGCACTAGGCATTTCTGTACAGAATTCCTTAGATTCATCCCCTGAAATTAGATGATGGGAAACTGGAACTGTAGAAAAAAATAATAAATGAAACAAATGAAATATAAATTTAAACCAGGATTTGTATTTTTCTGCTGGTATTGTTACAAGATAAATTGTCGCAAAGGTGCTATTTTTTGTAAAAGGCAACTGGATTTTCTCTGGGCTTTTTTCTTTGTTTTTTGTTTTTAAAATCTTTTGCTTCTCATCCAAGAAGTTCCTTCAGTTCTGAAGAAGCTTCGTTCATGAGAAGCAAATGTTTTCTAAGAAAAAAAATCAAGAAAGTCCAGTTGCCTTTTGGAAAAAGCAACATTGAACAACTTTGACTTGGATGATTGAGAATCTCTATAGACAAGACAGCTTATAATAATGGTTTCTTTAATTCTGGTTGAAAACCACATATTTTCTTTACAAAGAGTTCACATTGACATGCTGAAACCCAAACAAAACTATATCATTGTCTAGCAGAATAGGTGAAGGTTTAAGTGAGGAATTTTTTTTAAAACAGATAAAATTGTCTGAAGTTTTGTCTAATGACTTTAAGATACGATTTATAAATTATAATAAAACGAAATATTAAGTTGCACCAATTTAAGGTCTCTTAAGGTTTCTTGCAGGATAATTCTGGTGCAAAAAATTTCCATTAAATCAAAGTGCTTTTGTAACTTAAGTGAGCAACAGTAAAAGCAGGGTGTATATATATTTTAAAAGCTTGTTTCTAGAATAGTTAATTCAGTGCTTTTCATGCCTGCTTTCCTTTAGTTTTACTCCCTTTTCTTGTTTATGCCATTTGCAAAATTTAAATTATTTGATTGCCTTATCTTAGGAGGTACAACACAGTATGAACAGCAAGCCAATATAGAACATGTTTACTCAGAAATATATGCAACTAAGCTGAACTAGTCTTTATTTCCCAGTAAACCTACATAGCACTATCATGAATAATTGGATTAATGTGAATTAACTAATGGAATTGATATAATATCTGGAATTTTGGAAAATCATGACATGCCTCTGATGCCATGCTGTCAAGATTTTTGTCCCTCATTCAGTAATGTGTGAAACAAAACAAATATTTCAAATTGCCTCTGCCTTGTTTAATTTTGTAGCCTATGCCATCAGCATCCTAATTGCCCTGTTGCATGGTGTTAACACATTTTGTCTGCCTGCAGCTGTTGGGGAGAATGGGGGCAGCAGCTGCCTGTGAATGTGGTTGTATATGAAAATGGCCCGGAGTCTTGGCTAAAACAAATTGATTTAAAAGGTGTGCTCCTTGTTTTTAGTGCCCTTGCTGCCAGTCCCAACCCAGCCAAGACCTGCTGTAGGACCCCAGAGATTTCCTGTGAGTAGCAGCTGTTCCTTCTTCTCTGATATGGATAAGCATACATTTGTAAAGAAATATTAATATGGCAAATACAAGTGGTGCCAGTGAAATATAATTTTAAGGATTTGCAAATATTGACACTGATCTGTGAGCTAGAAAATTGTTTGTTAAATGCTTAAAGGTCAATGAATTTTTCAGGCCTGAATTAATTTTGTTTTAATTGTAAAAACTTCCAGTGGGGAGTTTAAAACACACACTCACATGCTGGCTGAGTTTAAAATAATAATAAGGACTCCATCCATACATTAGAGTCCTTTCAGAATAAATATAACTGGTTTTTTTTTTTTAATAAAAAAGGCATCAAATATTGGGTATTTTTAGTGTAAATGTAAAGGATTTTATTATTTTTCTTTCATTGTATCTTTAATACCAGAAACTGATTTGCTGCTGGTGTCTTGTCACCTCTTTATCCTTTTTTTTTTTTTTGGTCATCCCAAACCGAGTAACCAGGTGTTTTCCCTATCTAATCTACTACACTCGGTTGATTTGCCTTTCAATGTCATTGGATATTCCCACTTCTCTTCCCATTCATATTTTTGTAGTATGTAAATTTCCCTGATCTCCCCCCCCTGCTTTGTATTCCTTGAGTTACAGTTTCTTCGCACTGTGCATCAAGACACATAACAGAAACATTCAAAAACGTTGCTTTCATTTACAAGACTAAATCATATTTCTATAACCTTTTTAGAATTGGTAAAACTAAAATATATATATATATATATTCACATTTTAGATTAACAATCAGAAATCGGAAAATATATTTTAGAAATAGGGGGGTGTATCCTCATAGTATTATAACCAAAAGTCTGATATATTTTATTGCTTCTTTCTACTGTATGCCACTTTTTAAATTTCAAAAATAATTAAACTAAATGCACATGTGATGAGGTGATTTTCTGTTTTAAATGCCTGCAAATCATCTCCTTGGTAGTTTGTTATTTTGCAGGAGTATGTCAGAATTACGAAGAATTCTAGTCTGGAAATACACAGTATGGTAGTATACATTGTTTAATTGCTCTTTATAGGTTCCTTATCATAGAAGAATGGTAAATGATGCTCTCCATGATTCGCTTAGCATCTGTGAACTGGGAAATGATTTGTTAGAAGAAACCAAGCCCTCCTTTCCAGTTCATACATAGTGCTAAATAAAACTCAGATGGAGCCTGATGATATTGTTCCTGTACTGTGAAAAGCATAAGAAGTTGGCACATTTATTAGTTACCTTATAATTTGTGAATTTTTGATAGAATTAATTTTCTTTTGGATCCATAATTGTTACATACTAGTCTTTATTTTTCCTAGAGAATGTACATATTTGAGACACAGGTCCTGAAAAAGCCTTTTAAAAATGTGTTTATCATGACTAAAGACATTTGACATTGCCTATAATTAATCATCCTGAGGATGGGGTATGACCAACCCACATTTTTAAGGTGCTGCTTTGTTTTCTAGGCATGAATCTCGTGAATACAGATGATGATTTTGACTAGTATTGTAAGTTTCATCGAACATGGGTACAAATTCAGTTTTAAAGGCATAGTGCAATCAGGATGTTTGAATAGAAGAATGAGCATATCTTCTGAATCCTTCAAGGGCCAGTTGGTAGACTTTATAAACCAATAAAATATGTACAAAATTAACATTATTTCAGTGAAACTTAACAAAAATGAGGATTTAGCCATATTCTCATTAATATTTAATAAATATTCTCATTAATATTAATGAATAATATTTAGTATAGCCACTGCTGCTTCAGATAGTGCTGGTCCATCAGAAATCAGCTTGATGTTCATATCTGCTATATCTCTACTCTATTGCACTATTCATAGAAATTGGATACACAGAGAAAAACAAAATCACCATTAAATCTGAACTTGGGTAAAAAGGGCTATTCTTGATCCTTTTTAACTCAGTCAAGGGTGAATATCGTGGTAACAGGCAGATTTTGATACTTGAAAGTGAGTCACAGAAAATACTTTTCCTTTCAATTTGTTACCTAATTCTGGAAAAGATAAACCACCATTCCTTGAATCCATCGATAATGAGATTTTTGTTTTACAGTGTTCCATGTATTAAGTGAAAGAAAGAAAACTAAAAGAACCAAACAAGTCAGAGAGTCTCTGGATCATTTTCAAACATCTGGTGAAGAAAGCACTTCATTCATTCATTCATTCATTCATTCATTCATTCATTCATTCATTCATTTTACAGGCCACTCCAGTCTGAATTGAGTCTTGATTAGGGTACAATTCCCATTGCTTAAAGTCAGGATAAACATCAGTTTGAGGGTTTGCAGCTGGAAAGTGGTAGTGGAATTGTTTTCTGCAGATATAGTTACCTAAACTTGAATTCGTTTGCGCCAGGCACGCAAATTATTTCTTGTTGAGGAAGATATGCTTGCTGATTAATGCAGACAATGGTTGATTAACATTTTTCTCTCCTCAGTTTAGCTGGTAGAGCACAAGTTATCTCAAATCTTCTGTTGGTTATCAAAATGGGAATAGATTGTGGCCAAGGAGTCATTTTCATGTGTTAGGAAGGCTAAATCATTTGACCCAACTCAGTGCACAGTCCTGGTCCCAGATTAATGTTTTTGTGAGATACAGCAGATATGTATATATTTACACCTTCTAAAATGTAATATGTTGACCATTTATAGTCATTGTGAATATGTATTAAAAGTGTCCTATCGCCAGTTTTACCAGTTGATAAAAGATAACTGCATACACACTTGTGCTGTTATTTGTTTAAATGTGAGACATCAAGTGCAGAGAGGGTGAGGAAAAAAAACCTCTAGCTTGCTGCATGGCTGCCATAGCAATTGTGTTTTAGTTATGGCAGTGCTGTTAGAACAGCATCAGTAAATGAAATTTTCACTCTATTACTGTGCAGCAGCGCTGGCAAATTCCACCTGGTCTGGAAAGCATTTTCCTTTCTTTTTAACATGATACCAAGGTATCAGGTGGTCGTGATTGACATTTCTTGGATAGAGCTTTATACAGCATTTCATGCAAATCATGTTCGAATGAGACTGCTGAATCAAATTACATTTTCCCTCCCTCCTATTACAGCCCCTGCAGATGTGCAACTGAGCTTTTTTGAGCATCTCTGGCAAGTTCTCTTTACGAGAATCTGCCATTTTCACAACTTATCTACATAGCCCTATTAGTATCTCCACAATAGAGCAACAAGACCTGTAAAGTACCCAGAAGATCAACTTCTGTGGCTCCACCCCTTCTGCCTATGGTGTCAGTGTCAGACTGGGAAAAGGGAAACACAATTTACAGTGCAGGTGACATGATAACAAACATCCTCCATTTGCTGGGGAGCTTCTAATTAATCACTATTTCCATACATTATCACACTATCAAATTTAATCATATCAATGCATTCCCATCTGCAGGAGGAGCAGCAGAAGCTAAACATGATGATAACACTTATTAAGCTAGGGAGAGGGGCAGGCTCTAAAAGGAACTATCCTTTTCTGTCCTTCCCCCCATGGCGCTTTGATAAATGGTAAAATCAAGCTGATGCCATGATTGCTCACATTTTGATTTGATTTGAACATTCACAGAAAATAGGCTTTTTTGAAACATAACAGAAAATACCCCCTTTTTAAAAAAAAAATACAGATCCCCAAACATTGATGTATACGATATTTGCTTAAAAATTCATGCAGATAGTAGTAGAATTGAATATATTGTGACTTTTCCACTTTGTGATATCCCTGAAGTAGAAGAATTTTTTTGTTGGGTACCTTTTCCTTTAATCTGCAAAACAAGGGCTTTCTGGTCATAGGAAAGAGGCAGAATGAGTTTCAGTATATATGGCTCGGTCAAGAAAAGAGGGACCAGTATAGGTGTCACACAAGCAGACAGATCTTACACATTGAAGTCAAGTGTCCTGTGAATAAATTATAATCAAATAGAGAGCATCACTTCTCAAAAGTTACTTTAAAGAAGAAAGCCTCCTTTTTTCTATTACTGCTGAATATTTGATTGTTTTTATGCTGTCAGATATTAAAATATGTGGCAGTATGCAACTGTGAACATACACAAAAAATAAAATTAAATAAAATTAAAACAAGACTAAAGAGTATAGAAATGGGTTAAATTTAAAAAAAAAAAGTGGGATTAGCTTTTAGACCCCTCTAAGTTGCTCAGTTCTAACTGTTTTATGAAACTCCTCCAAAATCAGCAGTAATCTAACCTTGAAGAAACTACCCCATAAACTGGAAGCCATAATAGAAAATTCCCCTGATTTCACCTCCCACCTCCCCAAGCCTGCTTCTCCCACTCTGAAGATGGAGATAGTAACCTCTCCAATTGAGGTGAGCGCATAGACAGGATGGCTCCAAAGGTTGTCCTCCAGACATTTAAGAGGCAAGCCTGATAGAGCTTTTAAGAATGAAAACAGTACTTTGAATTATAAACAGGAACAATACCTCTAGTCAAAACTCTTGGAGGCAATCTTAGGTGTGCTGTGTTTGATGATACTGAATGCAACTAAAAGATCAAATACGGCCAGGAGCAGGATCACTCTGGTCCCAAAACAAGTCATCTACTGTGTTTTTGACAGATAATGCTTGTTGAGTATTATATGCTGACAAATAAAAATATAGCAGTTCTGTATGTCCAGAAATCCTGGATAGTCATAACGGTTTTACCCCTTTCCTCAGCCTCCCATTGTCCAAATATCCTTAGTTCCAAATTCTTAACAAAGAACATTCTGATTATTGATTACTTTCGTAACTTAGCTTTGTTGTTGCTGTTATTAGTTGCGAAGTCGTGTCTGACCCATCGCAATAACTTAGCTAGTTAATGCTTTTTCTACTCCTCATCTTCCCAAAGGAATAATTCTCTTTGATCCACAAAGAATAATCTATAATAAATTATTGTTAAATTGGCATAGATGTGAGTTCATCTACTATAGTTCTCTATGGACGGTCATAGGATGAA